TAGTTCTCCAGGCTTAATTCATTTGCACTTGCTCTTTTGCCCTTGTGGAACAATAAATATAATGTTTTCCTTCAGCTGTGGTAGTTTTTATATAAAACACTTAATAAAAAATCATGTGTATCCTTACTGCAAAGTGCAGGCTGCTATAAAACACGCAACAAAATAGCGATTAAGACAATAGCCATAAACCAAAGAGTGAAAGCACAGCCCCTGCACTTCAAAAACGTATTCAATTTACAGAAAGCAAGAGTGCGTGAAACAAACCCCCACATAGAGAACCCACTCCTTAAGCTCAAGCAAAGTATGAAACTGTTACATACAGTGGAAGTGAATGAAGGAAGCTTTGACAAACTCCACGCAGCATAAAAAGTTAGTCCCTATCCCCATGGTAGGGACAACTGGAATCTCTCATAATCAGGGATCCAGGTTTTCTGTTTCCCACAGAAAAATCACAGTTTTTCCCTGTTTTTAAGCAGAAAAATGTGGGAAATCATAGTTTTCCCTGTGCAGGCTGGCAGAGTTCCAGTCTGCAAGGGACTGCCTGGGGCTGGGGGGAGCAGAAAGAGCATGATCAGAGATACGAGGCACCACATACATGTGCACACATACAAATGCACATGGCAGCCAGGCAGTGTGATGGAGAGCAGCTCCCCACAAATAAGTCTGATGGGGTGAGGGGAGCGCATAAGCAATGTGTGGGGGAGATAGGTGAAATGTCAGGGGGGTAGGGCAGAACCTAAGCGATATGTCAGAGAGGTGTGGGGGGCATGTGACCCCCCTAGATTTCTGTGCCCACAAAAGGGCATGGGGCTGCAGCCTAGCTGAACTGGCACTGGGCAGGAGCTGCCTCCGTGGCCCAGTGGGTGGGCCATGCCACAGAAGAGTGCTATGCCTCCATGGCTGCCAAAGTGAGGCACCCCTTGCCTGTCCAGCAACAGTGGAGGGACACAACCACGTGCCACTGCAGCACCTCACCTTGGTGGCCATGGCATTGCAGATGACATGGGTCTCTGGGCACCAGTGGTGGTGTCAGCATAGAGTTATGACCCTCCCACACTAGGTCCCACCCACTGGGCTGCGGAGGTAGCTTCTGGCTGATGCTGGTCTGGCCAGACTGCAGCCCCATGGCCTGCTGTGGGAGGCTGCACAGTGCCACAAAGTTGGGGCGGGGGACAGCCTGAATCCTGGTGAGCAAAGTGGGCAGGAGAGCTCTGATTTTCCATGATAAAAAAACAGGCCTGTGCAAATAGGGAAGTAGTTGATTTGGATTCAGCAGATTTGAAGGACAGTGATTTGATTCAGAGATTCAGATCACTGTCCCGAATCAATTTGGCCAAATCAGCTTTGGAAGATTCGGCGCTGATTCAGAGAGATTCGGTGATTCGGCCATAGACTATAATGGGAAATCACTCAAATACCTATAATTTGTCATTTTTTGGCAGGTTTGGATGAAAACATCAGGAATTGTAGCCCCTTCTGAGGGCATGAAGCCTGCCATGGTTCAAGGAGATAGGTGTAGGGGTTTCTGGGAAACTGCACCTCAAGCTGCTGAAAGCAAAACTTTTGCGTCACTTGTGTGATGTGTGTTAAAGCAGATTTGGATGAAAACAGCAGGGATGGTAGCCTGTAACAGGAGGCCTTCCCAATGCCGGTTAGATCACTGCCCGCCTACCTTTTTCTGGGCCAGCCGCCTTTCCCTCTTTTCTCCAGGCAGAAACAGCTCACAAAAGGGACAGAAAGGCTGCAGACAGAGGCTTATATGCTGTCTCTATATCCCTTCCCCAGTGCACTGTAACTGTAGGAGGACTCAGGGAAAGATCACAGTCACTGGCCAGCTACAGATGTCAGTCTTTCCCCCTCCTGCTCCCCCTCCCTCTTCTCAATTTCTCTTCCCCTGAAAGACTGCCTTCTGAATCACTGCATCTTTTTCTGAATCTTTTCCAAATTGATTTGGAGGCTCCAAATCGATTCAGAGGGGGGTTTTTGTCTCCCGATTCGATTCAGATTCGGTGATTCGACCTCCAAATCGGGCCGAATCTTCTCCGAATTGAATTGGTGACCAAAGCTTTGCACATCCCTATAAAAAACCAAAATCAAATGCCAAAATATATAGGTATTAAGAATTTATTTTGTTATAATGATTGAAATGCTGGTAAGCTTCCAAATTGTTTTAAAATTGTAAATATATCAATAAAACATTGTGTTCAACTGATACGTGTGTGTGTGTGTGTGTGTGTG